CAATTTTTATCCATTTGTTACTTTTTATGAGCCAGTAATTATCAGGAACATTCTAATTGCATTTCATCAATTTTATGAAAAATGCCAGGTGAGCAATATAGACTGCATGGAGCCGCTAGTTTTTAATAACAATTAACCTGGTCATCTAAAAGGCACTTTAATCTTATTGATACGAAAATCACAGTATCGTATCATGTTATCAAAATCATATGTGATCGGAACGACCCTATGTTGTTGTATACGCAATTGGGGAATATGTCTTAAGTTCTTGCTTGCTTGGTTAAAATCCCTAAACAAAATACGGTAATGTATGTAGAATATTTGTATTACTGTACATTGATGGATATTAAAACTTTATAGCATGGAATACTGTGGCACTCTCTCCGTTTATGTATCGAATGTCAACAATTTTTCGACCCATGAATACTGTCAATTAGCAATTATTTGTCTAAATGGTAGTTAAATTACATTGAAGAGTATTCATGCTAAGGCTTCCTTGTCAAATTCGCCAACTGCTTAAGGCAATTTTGGGTAGCTTTTATAAACTTAGACAAGCGAGTCTACCGTGATGTAAGAAATACTAGCAATGGCATATATGAAATAATGAGCAAAACTATTGACATTATAAATTCAAGATGTAAATGGGCCTCTGAAACTTATGTCTCACCAAACAGATAGACACAGAGGCACTACGTTCGTTGATGTGACATTTTAAGGTGTTGTTCATTTTTCATATTTTTTTTACAGATATCTGTTTTCTCCTTTATGGTTTGTTATTACATTATTTATATTCAAATTCAAATTCAATTCAAATTTGAATATTTATTGCAATATAAACTTTAAGCAATAAGTTTGTGACAAATACAAAATAAATAGACAATATAACTGAAATTTACAAATATATATATATACACAATCATTTAGTAACAGTTAATAGTCCAGTGTCCCCTGTCCTCAGCTCTAATGACTTTTTGATGTAGGACCCCAATTTATTTACTTGTGATGGTGTTGATGGATGGAGTATAAAAATCACCATTTCTTCATATACAAGAGTACTTCCTCGATTGGTATTTTTTTGTTTGTCTATTGATTAGACTTTGTTAAATTGGCATTCTTCAAGATATTTTGCAGAATTTATCTTTTTTTCAAATAAGATATGAAGTTGGCATGAGTAAAGTTTTATCCCGTCCAGTGAGTACTACAGTCAAAATTGCACATAGTATGTGATTGCATGTAAGATAATAACCATCACTGGAAGTTACCAAATCAAATTATCACCCCTTTATTTCCTGTTTACCAGCTTTAGTAACCATGTCACCTCAAGTTTCCAAAACATCTTATAGAAACACCAAATAAAAAAGAATGGTGCTTTGAATCACCAAAGGTATATGTTTATGACTCAGAAATGTTTTTCTGCAATTAACCTCAGGGTTAATTTCCTACAACTGACAAATTCAATTCAAATCTATTCTATTCTAGCACGCTTGGTAAACCATCTAATCTCAACCAAATGGTTAAGCGAGAAAAACGTTTACTGGCACTTCCTGTTGAGCCTTTTCTGGTACAAAATATCAAAAATATAGAAAGGGTAGGTCGACTTTTCGTCAATTTATTGTTAATCTGTGAATATTTTGTTAAATAGGAGAATGTCATACCATAGATAACTATAAATAAGTGCTTGTCTCATTTTAAATTATATTAGTGCGAGTAATAAACGACACCGGAATCACTTTTTCCCCGCAGGTTTTTTCGGCCATCCCAGAGAGTTTTTGACAAAATGACAGTGAGTTCATCAATAAAGCTAACGTATTCATCAGTATATAAGTATTTTTCTTAATCAATAGAAACGTTTAATAACATTTTTTCTATTTATTTACTAATATGATTTTATTAAGCTGAATAAGTTAAAACGTTTGTCGGGTTGAGATTGTCTGGCATCGGTTGTGATATTATGGACCAAAGTTGAGATCGTCTGTCAAATAAAACTTTCAACTATCGAAGTGTCGGATACGACCGTCAAAATTCATAATATTTTCGTATAGTGGTTTTCAAATGGAAAGTCTAGCGCTGGAGATGTAAAATCTAATGCAGAAGACATAAAACTTATCGCTGTCGATATAAAGTCAAGCTACATACGTATAACGTGAGTCCGGCGCAGGTAGTGTAAAGTCAAGCTCTGTAGATTTAAACTTTCAGAGCTGTAGAAGCAAAGTTCGACCGCTGGAGAAGTCGTCCACTATTACTGTCCGCTGGAGAAGTCGGTCACTATTACTGTCCGCTGGACTACATCGCTGGGTCTTACATCTCCATGAATAGACTTTAGAACTACAGAGCTAAGCACATCTCCATCGCTTGACGTTGCTTCTCCAGCGCTAAACTTTACTTCTTTGGCGCTGGACTTAACATACCCAGCGCTTGATTTGATGTAACAATAAACTCATCATAGATACCAGGATTAATATTTTGTATTTGCGCCAGACGCGCGTTTCGTCTACAAAAGACTCATCAGTGACGCTCGAATAAAAAAAAAGTTAAAAAGGCCAAATAAAGTACGAAGTTGAAGAGCCTTGAGGACCAAAAATTCCTAAAAGTTTTGCCAAATACAGCTAAGGTAATATATTCCTGAGGTAGAAAAGCCTTAGTATTTCAAAAACTCAAAGTTTTGTAAACAGTTAATTTATAATTATGACCATATCAATGATAATTCATGTCAACACAGAAGTGCTGACTACTGGGCTGGTGAAACCCTCGGGGAATAAAAACTCCACCAGCAGTGGCATCGACCCAGTGGTTGTAAATAAACTAATCATAGATACCAGGATCGAAATTTTGTATTTGCGCCAGACTCGCATTTCGTCTACAAAAGACTCATCAGTGACGCTCGAATCAATACACAGTTAGGGGGACAAAATTGACACTCATATATAAATAGTTTTAACCACTCCCTTTCTTTCTAACTAATAAAGCTTACTGTTAATGTCATGTATATGCATATGTATGAAAACAGCATCTTCAATAGGTTAAAATGGTGAAATGTAATCTCTTTTTGGTGTAACCATTGCAACGATCTGCTTTTATTTGATACAAAGTATTGCAAAAAAGGTGATGAAAATGTCACAAATGTCCCCAAAAATTTAGTCCAAATTGAAATTTCAATCCATTTGAGTGATACCTTTTCTGAAACCATTGATATTTATGTATCAACATGTCAAATAAAAAATATACATTTCACCTCATTTTTCGACAAAATTGGATTGCAAAGTTCGAGCGCAAAAAGTTTATCGGAAAACACTTCAATAATGTCTGGACATATAACCGGTACTAATGTGATAAACGGACTGTCAAACAGAAAATGGCTTATAAAACATGCAAAAAACAATCTTGATGTTCATATAAACCCCCTTCGAAGGCTTTATTATTCTTCAGCTATCTAATAATCAATCGTATTACACAATAACTTTCATATTTGAAAAAATTGACAAGGACCAAAATGTTAAACCAAACTCCTAACTGTGTATTGCCACCTAATGTCTACAGCGCTCGACTTGATATATATAGTGCTAGACTTTTAACTTCTCTTATGTATGCCACATCAATCTCAATTTTAGGCCAGTTAGTGTACTAAAATTATAATAAGACGCACACCATGCACTATTCTTGGTCCCAAATCATATTCACGTTAATGTTTTCACTTTCAAACATTTATGGGGTGGGGGTGAGATCAATATACCGTTATTTACACATCAGACCGTACTGGTTATCGGAACTTTGGATACAACAAACCAGATAATTCATATCTGAGAAACAGCCAATATATGCCCTCAATTTTAAGATTTCATTCATACATTTTTGTGTATTATTCATAATTATCAGTCAAAATGTGTTCTACAAGGATCACAAGTCCTTCACCTTTCATTTGATATATTCTACATAGTTTGATATTTACACCTATGTGTAGGAACTACTTTGTTTTAAATATGGACTACTTTCCAGTATGTTTTTTTTTTTACCAGGCCGGATTAGGTGGTGTAACATCTTACAAAGTCTATCCTAATTATTTTTGCAAAGAATTCCGCTCAAGCCGGTGCTAGGGGCCGTCTTAAACTTGCTGTGAGGTGAGAGTTGTTTTGCCTCGTGTTGAAGACCACACTGTGACTTTGAGTTGAAGAACAGCAATAAAAGTGATGTTCCTTTAATTTGCTTTTTGTGTTTTTGCTGTCCATGTTTGGATTTTGTGTCATGGACAGATACCCCATATCCTTTGTGTTTTTAATTCACATCTTGAGCGCCAGACTTTTCATCTTGTGCACTAGACTTTACTTCTCCAGCACTGGACATTATATCTTTAGGTATAGACTTTAAATCTTTACTCAGCGCTAAACTTTCCATCTCGTTTAGACTTTAAAAATCACTACTCTTTAGTATCTGTTTTAGACCAACATGCAGGGCTCGATCATACAAAACTAGAAACAAGTTAAAATGACAACAACTATACAGAAGGTTCGTGAATTTTGACGGTCGTATCAGATTGACAATTTGCTAGTTGAAAGTTTTATTCTACAGAAGCTCTCAACATTGTTCCAAAATATCACAACCTATACCAGACGATCTCAACCTTACATAACTTATAACAAATTCAGCTTAATAAAATCATATTCGTAAAGAAATAGAATAACTGAGCTGGCCGCACTAACCTGCGGGGAAAAAGTGATTCCGATGTCATTTTAAATTATATTGGTCCGAGTAATAAACGAAACAAGCTCTTATTTATAGTTATCTATGGCATGACATTCTCCTATTTAACAAAATATTGACAGGTTAACAATAAATTGACGAAAAGTCGACCTACCCTATCTATAGTTTTGATATTTTATACCAGAAAAGCTCAACAGGAAGTGCCAGCAAACTTTTTTCTCGCTTAACCATTTGGTTGAGATTAAATGGTTTACCAGGCGTGTCTAGGTAATATTTTTTTTCGACCCATTTAAAAAACCGGATGTGACGTACCATGTTTTGGTGGTATTTACCACAATCGGTTTTGACAGTTTGATCAAGGTAAATTTTTTAAAATAATTCGTGTGTTAATATGGTAAAAATGCCTATTATATGTAAACTGATGTGATATTTTAGGTTATCTAATGTACATATATCGATTCAAAATTTCTTTAATCTTGGATATTATTCAAAGATAATCGTTCAATGAAAACGAAAGTAAATATTTTAACTTGTTGGTTTTGCTTTCTTAAAAGTTGAACATACGATTTATTCCTAAATCAGAATTCTAATATGACGTTCTTCTTTCGCTTTGGAAACAAAGCCATGTTCTAATTCCAATAAAACATGGGCTGCACGTGATTGACGTCACAATTGAAATTGCAACGTCAGTTTTATTTTGAACACCGCCGGTGATCAAAATGGACATGTGTGTTGGTGTTGCTCGGTAAATTAATCATTCTTACAGTAAGTTTACATGTATCTGTTCATTGATTTATCGTGAAAAGGTTACTTTTCAATATCGTTTTGGCTTCATCGAATCAAAATGGCTGCCTTTTGAAGTGTTCTTCCAAGTACAAAAGTTCCAAATATTCTTATTAGAATCGAAATAGTTCCATCATGTCATGCTCTATGCTCATTTTAACATGGGTAGGGATTACATTTGTCATCATTTTACACCTCGCTTATGCTTGGTATAAAGACATTGACAAATATGATCAAATATGATGCCTACCCATGATAAAATGAGCACAGAGCATGACACGAAAGAATTATTTCTTAAATACGGCAGGCGTCCCTTGCTTATTTGAATTTCACAAAACATCGTCACACATTATGCAAGTTTTTTAGTTGATTTTGTTTTTGCGTAAAGGGAGAAAACTCTTTTTATTGGTTTGTTAATATTGTATATGTATGTTTATGTTCCAAATACAAATACATACACATTCTCCTATCTCCTATCTCCTATGCATACGTATATGTATATATATACACAATTGTTAGCTAAAACACCTATATATATTATATACGTTTCTGATTATATCAATGATTATATAATTGAGAATGGAATTCTGTATACGTAATTATATGTATATGTATGTTGAATTTTCTACAAATTTATCTGGATATAAACTGTCAACTTATAACCATAGTCATTATAATATAATATTGATTTGTTTAAAAAAAAATCTGGTATACTTTTTAGAAGTAATAAGGAGAGATAACAATGGCCTCATCTGCCAAACGCTTTTGTACAATCTGCGATGATGACGCAATTTCCAACGAAGCAGTCACGTGGTGCACCGAATGTGATGTTTTATTGTGTAGTGCCTGCGAAAAACCTCATAGAAAGTCAAGACTGTCGAAGAACCATAAAACAATGTTGGCTGACTATTATGCAGAGTTACCTCCATTCATTCAAGAAATAAGTAGTCAATGCAAAGATCACGACACAAAGTTTGAACTTTATTGTTCTTTTCATGACTGTCCCTGCTGTGTCAATTGCATCACCGATAAACACCAGCAATGTCAAGAAATGAAACCACTATCAGACATTCTATCAAATTTTAAATCATCAGCTTCAGTTCATCATCTCCAAAAAGATCTCGAGGATTTGAAAGAAAATTTATATGAAGCAATAAAATACTTGGAAACCAGAATCAGTATAAACAATATTCAGAAAAAAAATGCCATTGAGGAAATCCGGAATATGCGAAAGTCGATCGATGACTACTTAAACAAACTAGAGCAAAAAACGATAAGTGCCTTGGAGTCTACGCATGCAAACCTAAAATCAAACAAGAGTACTCTCATCCAACAAATGGAACAGCGAGCCTGTCAGATAGAGCAATGTCAAAACGAGTTTTCCAAAATGATACAATATGCAACAGAGCTACAGATGTATATTGGTCTGAGAGAGATTGAGAAAACCACTTCACAAATAGCAAAATATATAGATGATTTAAAAAAAGGAGACCATTTATATGATAAAGATGTAGAAGTAAGGATTTCATCTCCTCTTCAGTCGATCTTACAAGGTGTCAAATCATTTGGAGATATTAATATAATTACCAGACCTTCTACTCTCCGAGTAAAGACCAGACGAAATGATCAAGCCCAGCACTTGCTTCTAAACATTCCTGATGTTGAACAAATTAAGCCATCTTTCCTTAAAATTCTGACAATTCCAGATTTATATGAAGAATGCTCATTTGTAGGGGCCTGTCTAGTGTTACCCGATAGTAATTTCCTCATACTAAGCGTGCACAGTAGAAAATTACTGCTGTTCAGTAATGATGGCATCTTTATGAATGAAGTGATAACATTCACAAAAAATCCTTCGAATGCTTGCTTTATTCAAAATGATAAGGTGGCTGTCACATTTCAAACACTTAATTTTGCCATGTTTACGGAATTGGTGGATATTAAAAAGAAAAAAATTATTAAAACAATTAAACTTTCGCATGACTGTTGTGGAGTAGCAAGTGATGGTAAAATATTGGTCATTAGCAGTAAAAATAAAAGTACCAAAGTAAATCTGTCTGACATGTCTCTAACAATCTTAGGAGGAGTGAGGGTAGGTCATATTTCGTTATTCAAAGAAAAAATCTATGGTACCATTGACACTGAAAACAAACTCTGCTGCTACACCAGTACCGGAGAACATATCTGGACATTTCAGCACCATGACATTGCCGAACCACTAGGACTTACATTGGACAAACATGGTTTAGTTTACATTGTTTCTAACCATAACAGCAGTATCGTGGTCGTATCACCAGATGGTAAAACCTGTAAGACAATATTATCAAAGACTGATGGAGTAAAAAGTCCTTATGCCATAGATATCAATAGGGAAAAAGGATTGATGATAGTGTCAAGTGATATAAGTGGTGATTTTGATGTTGAAACCTCTGATTCAGCTTGTATTTATGAAATTCAAATTGTGTGATACCTTTTTTTAAATATTATGAATGAATGTTTATTTGTGCATAATATATCTTAGGGACTGGTAATTCTCTTGATTAGGGGACCTGGGAGGAAATCTCTGAATATCTCTTAAACAAAAGTTCAAGTTACATCTTGAATAAAATAGAAAATAAATTCAAGACCCTTTTCCAAAGACATAAACATTTCGCCATATTCAGGGGCTAGGGGTGATAACATGAAATTTTTCAGGATATGCCTGCTATGGTCTCACTAAGTTACTCAACATCAACCTCATTCAAATTTGGCACTTTTTTGTTCTTTTGTTCTTTCCTTTGTTGGAGTAGTTAGGAAATAAACTTCTGTTTAAAATTGACATGTTCAACCTAATGATGTGAGGTAAGTAAGCCGAGTGTGACTTCAATAATTGTTTTTTTTTTTTTTTAAAGGGTCTTATGGGTGTGACACTGACTGCATGCATTTATTTCTTCATTTCATTAATGGAAATTATCCAAATAAAGACTCAAGAGTATCAAAATTTTATTCATAACCTTCGACACATACAAAGAAGACGATAGAATTGCAAACATAAGGTAATTCATAAAGAGACAGGACAGATAAAACACAAATAAATAGTGTAGCATAAAATGACATTTGGTATTAATTGAAGTATTTTGTAATTTCTGTACGAAAATCGATAATTTGTTTTGCACTTGTACGTTACATAGAGACCACAGATCAGTGAATGTGTTCATGCTTGGATTAATTACATAATAATATGGTATGAACTTTAATCCATTAAGAGCAGAATTATCTGCATTTTTACAGGTAAACAATACGCGAAACCCATCACCTATTCCCTAATAACATAACGTACAAATTCTTTTTTCTCGCGGAATTCCTACCCATCACCCAGTCCACTGTTGACAAGCGGATGATGGTAACTGAAGTTACCACGATCCCAATATGGCGGAGGGGAATCCCCGTAAGATCTTTCCCTCTTAATTTCTTTGTTTTTACATAAATGTGGCTAACATTACTCAGCCGTCGTTTGGTTAACATTTGCAATGAGTCTGTAAAATATTAACCTTAAACAGCTGTCCGTTACTGAGAAAATTGAACACAATAAAAATGCGATGATGATGGTACCTCCAAGATGGGATGGTGGTAACTGTCGATCAAAATAGTTAGGAGATGATGGTAACTTTTATATTACACGAGGTTTCTTTTCAAATATACAGTGTTTAACATCACTTCACATGAAATGAAACACAATAACCCATCTTAACTGAAACCACTATCTTGGAGTAAAGACCAAAACTAGCGCAAGAGACAAAAATGTGTCGGGGAAACAAATTAAAATGTTTTGTAAAATGTAACTGTCTTTAATGCAACAATTTCACAAACAGTGTTGTAATACCAACTAAAAAACTATATATGTTTCAACAAAGTATCAAATAGTTAAACAAATGAAAATTCAAAAGGGTAAGTCTCAAACAGATTTATATGCAATTCCTGTTTCTTGTCAAAATGAATAGATAGATATAGGAGTTTTATAAAAAAAAAAAAAAAAAAGAAAAAAAAAAAACATTTTACTTTGAGGTAATGAAGGAAAAATCAAAAGTTAAACATATTTCAAGAAATAATAGGCATAAGAGAATGCCTTCTTAGGGCATCACAATATGGGTTGGGGACTTTTTTGGGACTCCGAGATTAGGCGGTTTTAAGCTAGGAATTTCGGAATTGATCCTTTTGCATGGGATACGGGAATTCCTATTTCAAATTTCAGGATGTCGGGATTAAAATTTCTTTAAATTCGGGGCCTCTGGATTTCAAGCTTTTAAGTTTTGGATTTCGGGATCAGACCCCCTCTTTCCCTCCTCAATATAGTAGGTTTGGGAAACAGAAACAGGAAATAAACATATAATTGTGTTCAGCTTTAAAGTGAAACCAGAGAGGAACATCGATCTGTACCTGTATAGATAAAAAATCGAAGTAAGTATTGTTCCAAACAAAATTCAAGTTTAAATAAAGAACAGTGTACTCATAATCATTACAACTAATTGATTGTTCCATATAAAACTAAGACCTATATCATCAAAATTATATTTTACATATTGAATCCACTAGCATTTGGTAGATTCATGTAATGTGATCAGTCGAATATTTTACCGTTTGCTTCTTAAACCATAAAATTTGGTAAACTATTTCGAGCCCCGAGAATATTTTGGCAGAACTGCAGATGTATTTTATCAATATTCTGTTTATTTTCGAACCCAAAGCTACTGATGAATATGAGAATCTTGATGCGGTAACAGCATCGAAAAGTTTTTACTGAATATTAATAGATAATGATATATGTTTTATCCTTCTGTAGAGAGCAAGCATTGTTTTTGTGCTTGATAAAACAAATCCTTTTTAGCTGTACAAAATTACAGTTCTCATTATCCCTAAATAATTGATAGAATCTACTTCTATGACGTTCCCGTATAGATGAAAATCAAATTTTTGTCGTACCCTTAGTTTGCTAAAGACAACAATTTTTGTTTAGTCTATATTAACTTGGAGTTTCAATATCTAACAATATTGTTCAAAAACATCAAGTGCATGTTGCACTTCGTCTTTAACATTGAATAAAAAGGTAAAACATGCGACACCGAGGAACAAGTGATCAGTATGCTGGAGTCTAATATTGACAACAAATTTGTTGAATTTGGAGGTAGACTTTTTCAATAAATTGTCAGCATTCCTATGGAAACGAACTGTGCGCCTCTCTTTGTCGACCTCTTCTTATTTTCATATGAGTCGGAGTTCCTTCGGACACTTATCAAAAACAGAAAGATCAAAGAAGCCAGATCATTTAATTTCACAATCGAATTTATTGAAGTTGTTCGTTTCCATCAATCTGATTAAAATTCTGATCCATATCAACTCGCATGCTCGTACAGAGTATAACGAAATCAGAGAACTATATTTTAATTAAATTGTTCTTTCCATTTACAGTCCAAACTTTTCTATTTGGATTCCATTAATATATCCCGAAGAACTTGAAATTAAATAAACAACAGACACAGCTTCGTCTGTCTCATTTTAGACTTATACTTCGAATTTGACATACGCGGTCATCTCAGTACCAGAATCTATGACAAATGAGACGATTTTTATTTTGAAATTATCAATTTCCCCCATCTTAGTAGCAATATAAACTTCACCTGCATATATGGGATATACATTTCCCAACTCATTCGATATTCAAGAGTCAGCTGTTACTCAGACTTTGTAAAACGTCACCAGTGTCTGAGCAGAAATTGATGAACAAGAGTTATGTCACAGAGCGTCTCGTCCTTTTTCTAAAAAAAAAATCATCGGAAGGTACCAATACCTTGTTGATAAATATTCCGTATCGACTTCACACATGATACATGTACATGATGGTCTTAAAATATAGATTCTAGGTACTTACGTTTGAATGGTTTTACACTAGTCATTTTGGGGCCCTTTATAGCTTGCTGTTCGGTGTGAGCCAAGGCTCCGTGTTGAAGGCCGTACTTTGACCTATAATGGTTTACTTTTACAAATTGTGACTTGGATGGAGAGTTGTCTCATTGGCACTCATACCGCATCTTCTTATATCTACTTACGTTATTTATCATCTTAATTACGTGTTATAGAGTTCTTGTATTTGTCTTTGTATGTATATTGTTAACCTTTACTGTTTAGTCCATTTTTGATATATTTTTTTTTCTTTTTGCATGGCTCGGTACTTATACACCCCGCCATTTTGTGATGGTGATATGGTCATTTTTAGCTCACCTAGCCCTATGGGCCAAGTGAGCTTTTTTCATCACTTGGCGTCCGTCGTCGTCGTCGTCGTCCGTCGTCCGTTAACTTTTACAAAAATTTTCTCCTCTGAAACTACGTGGCAAATTTAACCAAACCTGGTAACAATCATTATTGGGGTATCTAGTTTAAAAAATGTGTCCGACGACCCCGTCTACCAACCAACATGAACATAGAACATAGGGGTAAAATGCAGTTTTTGGCTTATATCTCTGAAACTAAAGCATTTAGAGTAAATCTGACACGAGGTAAAAATGTTCATCAGGTTTAGATCTATCTGCCCTGGAATTTTCAGACGAATCAGACAACCCGTTGTTGGGTTGCTGCCCCTGAATGAGTAATTTTAAGGAAATTTTGACTTGAATATTACTATAGATAAAGATAAACTGTAAACAGCAATAATGTTCAGCAAAGTAAGGTCTACAAATAATTCTTCTCCTCTGAAACTCCTTTGCCAAATTTAATCACACTTGGCAACAATCATCATTGAGGTATCTAGTTTTAAAAATATGTCTGATGACCTCGCCTGCCAACCAAGATGGCCAACATGGCTAAAAATAGAACATAAGGGGTAAAATGCAAGTTTTTTCTATTATTTTGAAAACCATCATAAATAAAGGCAACAGTAGTATACCGCTGTTCAAAAGTCATAAATCGATTGAGAGAAAACAAATCCGGGTTACAAACTAAAACCGAGGGAAATACATCAACTATAAGAAGAAAACAAAGGAACAACAGAAACACTGAAGTGCAACAAAAACAAACGTCCACATACATAGAAACGACTAAAGTGAGAAACTCTGATAAGAGCAAAAATGTTCAGGATGTTGATGAGCTCTACCAATTGTCCATACTTGTCAAAACTGTCAGATGACTTCTTATATAGGATTTATTGCCCTTAAATGACAAATTTTACCATTTTTTTCATTTTTGCCTAATATCTTGAAAACTATACTAGATACAGAGATACTTTAAGATGATCAGCAAGACAAGTACTACTTATAGGTCAACATGGTCGAAATCGTCAATCGATTATTGCCCTTTAAAGACGATTTTCATTTTCTTTTATTTTTCGTTTTGTCATATATGATAGAAAATTATGATAGATAAAGATACACTTTAAATCACAAAAATGATCAGCAAGTCAAGATCTACTAACAAGTCATATTTTGCCGATATAGTTAAGTAGACTGTGACTCTTTATAGGAGTGATTGCCCTTAAATGAGGATTTTTTTTTATTCTCTTTTGTGTTATGAGCAAAAACTAAAGAAGATACAGAGAAACTAAACAGGCTAAATGATCAGCAATATGCCATTTTGTTTTTCTTTATTGACGTATTTGTTTGTTTTTATCGTGATTAAGATTATAACACAATGATGACTGCTGTACCCCAATTTTTGATTTTTTTTTTACCTATTATGTCTGTTTGTTTTGTTTTAACATTGTTGTCAATATAATGGAATTATATGTGACTGTCGTGCAAGTGAGAGGTTTAGCTAGCTATAAAACCAGGTTATATCCAATATTTTCTTCATAAGGAAATGCCTGTACCAAGTCAGGAATATGACAGTTGTTTTCCATTCGTTTGATGTGTTTGAGCTTTTGATTTTGCCATTTGATAATGGACTTTCCGTTTTTAATTTTCCTTGGAGTTCAGTATTTTTGTTATTTTGCTCTTTACTGCCAGACATAATAAC